TGTAATTACTAGCCCAGCTCTGCATAGTCTACAGTCAGGATCTGCAGCCATCAGGGAGTCTTCTGATTCACTAAAATGGATTTTGCTCACACACTTCTTTTGCTCCTTTGATCGTCTTCAGCCTCCTGTTTGCTTGCGACCCTGGAGGTTTTGGAGTGGGGTTTTTTTTTGTTGTTGTTGTTGTTTTTTTTAATTTATAGGCAATAAACATGGGTACTCTAAGGACTGACTAAAATCTAAAACACTGGTTCATCGAATTCATCATGACCATCCGTTTAAAAAAAAAAAAATGCTACAGTTCCTATCCTTTTAAATAGAGTTCAGCTGGTTATTATCTATTCTTCACATCAGATATTTATGAAGGTGTAATTAAGTACATCAAAGGATGTATTAGTCATAGACAAAGAACAAGCACACATCATCAATTTCTAGTTTATTTATAAGGTCCATTATTTTGTACACCACAGGACAGCTAGGATTTAAACAATATAGGCAATTCAGCATGGAGAGAATCGGGAAAGCTCATCTCTTTATACATCTAATAACCTGAGGAAAGAGAAACAAAACAAGTTTGCAATCGAAAGTACGTAACGGGCCACATAATCTGCAATAATATTGTGCAATAAAGTAGAACAGCATGCAAATGCACAGTTCGAGGTAGCACTGGGCAGCATCAGTTACTAATGCCTGAAGCAATTCTTTTTAAAATCCACACTGCCCATCCAGGTAGCATGCTGCAGTATGGTGCAGTCTCACCTTGATAATCTACAACTTGTCAATTCCCAGCTCTTCTGGTGTTGAAATGCCGAGTTCTGTGAGGGTGGGCTTTAGCTCTTGGATCAGGTAGGGATAGATGTCTTTATGGGGGCCTGCTTTGTCCTAAGATAAAGATAAAAATGTGATCAGCTGTAAGGCACAAAAAAATCCTAACAAGGCGTACATCCAATTGTAATCTCAAAGACTACGATTTATGTGACTTCATTTCCTCTAATGGCATATTTTATTGAAGTGAGTCTTACACACCTTGACAGCTTCAAGGATGCGGATGGCACTGGCCAGGTCGTTCAGCCTCCGACAAGCTCTTAATGCTGAATCCAAGATCTTGGGTTCAGGTACCAAATCATATCCAATTAGGGTGTTCATTCCTGTGTGTGTGTTTAGTTTACAGAAGTAGCAACGTCATTTTAAAGTTATGATTTTTAGAGTAACCCTCATTTGAACTATAACAATACAAAAATAATCCACTCAAAGTCACCTTTCCTGAGTTCCCAAGCATCTAAGTCAGGCTTGCTGAAGTAAGTGACCCAACGGGAATCAAACTCCTCATCTGTCTCCACCTTTCCATGGGAGTAGCACCTGGAGGCCAAGGGAGCTTGAAAAAAGGATTCAATAAATAAGTTTCAAGGACATACTTGTATTACATACATACATAAATAATACAGTTTAAAACTGAACTAATTTGGACTTAAAAAAAACATACATTTATTTTTTTTGTTACCCGAGACAAAGAAAGTTCTAAAACACTGTATTATACTTAAAGTAAATAAAACATTCCAGGTCCTTAATCAAACATACACACAGTGACATTTTAAACTTTTGGAATACACTGTAAAATTACCTAATGTAATGATCTACCACAAGTTAAAAACAATGTCTGCATCTACAAATGAACAGGAAGTGCATCTTGGTGCTGAACCATAGTAATAAACATTTACCTTTTTAAATAGATATCAAAAGCATTTTTAACAAACAATATATTTTAAAACAATATGTTCATTTTGCTGTTAAACTGATTTTTTCCCCACAGTACTCAAAGCCCCACTGCTCTTCGCATGGCCTTATCATTAACAGTGCTGCTTCTTATCACTTTTCACTCTGGCTGAATGCAACCTCAGAGGCTTTTGAACAAGGGCACATTGTCAAAAACCTTCCAATTCCTTTTCATTTATACTCTGGTATGAAATTGCATTTTATACACAGAAACAGAACTCAAAGTACTGTACCAAAGTTATAAATTCCAGCGGCATTACAGAAAGAGTGAAAACACGCACAACAGTAGTCGTTACACATTTTGAGGGAGTAAAGTAAAATAGGGTCATGCAATTTATTGCTACATCGCCTTGATCACAGTAGCTGGTGTTTGCGTGTACATTTGAAGACGTAAACGAGTTTGGTTTCAGTTTCTTTATTTCCAGTGTAGGAAGCCAGCAAACTAAGAATTTGTCGTAGAGAAGAGGTCACTGAACAAACTGTTATGCATTATGGATAATCCAGATGACCCTCTGCACCGCTTACTGGACAGGCAGCAGAGCACCTTCTTAAACTAACTGAAGGACAGATAGTGAAAACCACTTCTACCAAATACTGTAATGCCTCCATTTATTTAGTCCAACAATCCTGAATAATGATTAACTTTTTACATAGCACTCATTAATGTTCTAAACCCGTCTGCCATATACCGTCAACTAACATTAGATGACCTGCACAGGTGAGCTCAGGTCGGTTATTTCAGGAGAACACCAGCATTAAAAAGGCCAAAAATACATACTCATGGTGTAAATCTTAGATCAAACTCTGTAGCATTGTGATTTGCATTCAATTTTGACCATAGTCCAACGTGTTGATATGAGCTGCGTGCAAACTGCGGACGCTGACTCTCTCAAACAAACCGAGGAGGGTCATCGCAAGGTCGTGACTTTTACGCTTTAATTCACTTCGCGCCTCAATATTTAAATCACACAACGAAAGGTGAAAACACCAGACTATTTTAATTTCAGACCCTTAAACACAGCAGGTCACAACTTTAATTCAATGTCACCCCATATTAGCTTCTAGCTACATACAAGCACACAGGGTTAGCTAAGCTAGCTGGGTAGCTATACGAGCCCATTTTACTTAATTTATCACACAGTTTGTTTAATTTCAAGTAAGGTGCAAAGCAGACGGTCCTACCTGAGTAGCAGGGTCGTGACCGAGTCAGACTCCGCGCTCCTGAAGCTGACAGTCGGAAAACGGCACGGAACATGTTACCGCACTGGATACTAACCGTCCTGTACGTGCTAGAAAGGGGTACTCTGGACCTACGGAAGGACACGACGAGGGCGCCATGGTCACGTGACTGAACGAAGCCAGCCGAATGCCTCCTCCAGGCCATTGACGTGAGCGATTTGTTTTTTGTTGTTTTTTTGTTTTTTGTTGTTGTTGTTTTTTTGTTTGGGTTTTTTTTTGCTACTATAAAGTAATATATAAATATATTGATTTAACAATAACATTTCTAAAAAGAATTTTTTTCTTCTTGCTCATTTATATTTTTTTCATTTTAGTTTCCATTTTATTTTTAGTTTCGTTTTCCAATTATGGAAAATTAGTATTATGCCCAATATAGTCATATATGCATAAATAAAAGTTATTACAGTTTTATATTTTCGAATTTTGCGTTGAATTTTTGCTTTCACTTATCTTCTTTTGGCTGCTTCCTTTAGGGGTCGCCATAGCTGAGTATCGATGCTCACAATATCCCGATCATCCTCCTCTGTCAGCCCAATCCTCTGCATGTACTCCTTCACTAAATACACGAATCTTCTCCGTGGTCTTTCTCCTTTCCTCCTGTCTGGCAGTTCCATCTTCGAAATCATTTGTCCGTCCCATAATTACATCAGTTAAGCAGAAGTTTGGCTAGCAAACTAGTTTGGCTTCATAAGCTAAATTAGTTTAATAGTTTTATATATTAGACTAGTAAACTAATTTAATAGTGTAGTAGACTAGTAAATTACTAAACTAAAATTCATATTTCAAGTTGGTACAGTGTAACACCACTGGTAATGGCCTATAACACCAGCAGAGGGAGCTGTTGGTTTTAAAATATATTCTTTAGCCCTCTGGTTGTAAGAGCACGAGTAATTTTCTAGTATGGCTGCAGGTGCAGCCCAAGTCAAAGAAGTGGAAGATGTCAATGCAAAACACAAATGATCAAATACTTTAGAGTTTTTAAATACTGATTTATGTGGGGGTTGTCTGTAGTCACATGACAGGCCTTTGCTGTGGATGTAACTAAGGTACAGTGGATTACTCTGTCATGTGTTGATTCAAGTTTGTGTGTGTGTGTGTGTGTGTGTGTGTGTGTGTGTGTGTGTGTGTGTGTGTGTGTGTGTGTGTGTGTTCTTAGTGACGCGGTGAACTGTAATCCCCCCTAAGCCCAGAGCACCACAGTAGATGTCCATTAGTGTAATGTGTTGCTGCACATCTTTCCTTCTCTGTCTCTGCCTGTCTCTTTCTATCTTTCTCTATCCAAGTCAGGCTTTTATTTTCTTCTTTTCTCTGTAAATATCCATGTTGACGTTGTATCTTTAGGCATTTAGCCTCAATTTCAGAATTCCTTTAAACATGTAATTAGATAAGCTCCCTGACCTCTGACCTCACCATGGAACAGCAGCAGAAAAAAAAAACATTTTCTTAAATTGGATTTACACAGAACATTCATGTTCCCATATGAGTTTGAAATGATATTAGACTCTTATAAGAGTCTTTACAATTTAAGTTACTGTTCTTATGTAAAGTCATCTGGAATAAGAATAGAAATTCAAAAATTCACCATAAAGTGAAAAATGAGATGATACAGATATCATGAAACCTCAAAATGTTTCCAAGAAGCCAAAACTTCTGAGTTCATTTATTCTCTTAAGCCTATGTCTTGAGCCTACCCCAGCTCATAGGGCAAGGGATGGAGTACACTGTTCAACTATTCCAGATAAAATCCATACATGTCAATTACACTGTGGCTCTGATTCCTTGCATAACAATTATTGTACTTTATTCTGAAGAAAGACATAAAAAATACAGAATCTGAAAATGCTACTACAATTGTTAACCAACTCACACACTCAGATTAGGTGTTAACTTGTGTGTAGTGTAACACTGCAGACATTTAACGCCATTACTCAAACTGTTTTCTCACCACCTCCACTCTGTTCCAAAAAAAGGAAGAAAACTCAGTATGATTCTACAGTTATGATAGTTTTATTGGCATTTTCCAAGGTTTTATTTTACAGTGATGGTCACAGTTTGGAAAGGTAAGAGACATGAAACAAAGAGTGGCACCATTGCAGATAAATACGGGTCCCTCCTCTGTGTGGCCTACATAGTAGCATGCGGTTTCCATGTTAGGGTATATTTGCTTGTTTAACTGAATTAATTTGTGTTTTCTAGCAGCAGATGGACATGCATAATACGTTTAATGCACTACTTTATATTGCTAGGGTTGGATCATGAATAAATTGTAGCATGGTACGTGAATAAGTTGTTGGATTGATTGCTTGACCTCTGACCTCCATCAAAGCCTCACATCCTTGTACATTCACTGTGATTAATGCTAATATTTGTCTGATTATCAATGATGCTATTCAGACCATAAGAAACTGCAGTTGTTCACCTACACACCAAGCCTTATAAGCGGTGGCTTTTATAGATTTCAATGCATTAAACAAACATTTTGCTTTTGTTTTTAAATGGTCAGATTTTGCTCCCTGAGGAAAAATACTTGTTCTATACAGTTTAAGTCTGAAATGGCATTATATTCTTTTAAGACTGCTCTGTTAATTGAGTTGATAAAATACCAGTGTATAGTCTTGACCAGAAAGCCACATCTTCATCCAAATGGCCCAGACACTTGGTCAACTATGGCCATTAAATGTATTTAAACAGTAGCCTTAATAATAAACAGTAAAGGCTGCATGTTCATTTGGTAACTTCAAATCACTGTGGCCTTATTGGTACTGTAGCATCACAACATCTTAACTGTTGAATACACTGTGTGACAACACCAGAATACTGATATGAGTGAAGGACATTTTGAAACGGGGGGTACATACAACTTATCTTACACATATACTTTTTTTAAAAAAAAAAGAAAGAATGATGAAGAAAACAGGACATGTGATCTAAATCACTGAAACCATTAAAGAAACACTATGTACAGCATGGAAAGAGTTTGACTGGTGGTTGTGTAACTATTTTTTTTAAACAAAATTAGATGAGCAACATCACAGAACAACACTGACAACAAGGACTGGAAGTGATGCAGGAGTTGGATGGGCGAGCAGAGCAACGTGTGATATGTGCATGTGTGCAAAACTCTATCAGTATCACAATAAAAGCATAATTTTGCAGTGCCTGCTACTAAGCAAAGGAAGAGGGCGCCAGGAGTCGATGTTAAGGGCAGGGATAGGTTTGGTTGAGGGTTTCTTTTTTTGTTTGTTTTTGTTTGTTTTTTTGGGGGGGCGGGGGGTTAGGGTGACAAGGATTAAATAGGGTGAAAGCACTTTTCGCTGTAGTTTAGCCACTGCCCAACATCTTTGTGGCACGCTGGTTGGCCTCATCAATCCTGGTCTTGTTGGAATCAGCCTGAAAGAAAGAAGCACCAACTGTTATAGAGCTCAGGTAGGAAAATTTGGTCAAACCAGTGCTAAAGATTGGAGAGGGACAAATTAAATGAAGATACTGAATGGATGGATAAAGTATGCAATGGCACGTGAATCAGGAATTCCCCATTAGTGTGTGAAATCGGGGCTAAATCTGATCAAAGTCAGCACAACTGGTTTATATCTGCTGTTATATACCCTGATGCCAAGCCTGTAATCCATTAGCCAACTTCTGTTTTTTCTATACAGTTATATTTTGCACATATTCTTGTGTTTTATTTGCATTACATAAAATTCCAGCA